ATGTAAACCGTCGCCGCAAAGTGGGAACTTAAAAAAGAGTATAATCCATTTATCTCGAAACATAATACACATGACTTACACGACCTTTATTTTCTTAATGTGAGGGGCAAAAACAGTTTTAATATGAATGAACCATAGGGTTTTAATTAATATGAGGGTCAATTATTGTGCATTGAAATGAATCGCTTGAAAAGAGAGAGTTCGCTTGCAGATTAGACTGTTCACAGTCCTCTATTTTTCCGTAAGATCATCGATATCGAGCGCTTTGCGTTACGGGCTGCCATCTTGCATGAGTGTCAAAACTACTTTTAAAAGGGGGCGGGGGTCTCTGTCTAGTGCAAATTAGTCCAGTGGGGAGTAGCTGACCCTGTCTCCTCATTTTATACTTGTAGAAAGACAATAGTTTTTGGAAAATCCGGTTACGTCTAATTAGGCACGTTATACTGTCATACTATGCCGGGTTTTGGGAGGCAGAGTTTCCTGCTTAGAATTAATGACTAACTTGTTTATTTTTATTCATAATGGTGGAATTTAAAAGTTATTATACAGCCCCCACTTAAAAATGGTACTCATTTCTTTTGTTACGAAAGTCTTTCAAAAGGGTACAATGTTCTGAATGAGTTAATGTTTCAGTCTCACGTGAGATTCTGTCTCACGCAATGATCGGCGACAAGGTTTTATGGTAGTCTGAGTGTTTATAGCCACCCCCTCCCCTCAGAAAAAATAGCCCCTTGGCAGCCCAGTTAAAACTCGCCTTTCGGCGATTCTTGTTTAACAAACCGGTTTGATTGCATAACTACTGGTGGCTTAAAAAATTAGAATTTTCTGGGCGATTGGTTTTTTGTGAAAACGAAACTGGAAAATTCGAAAAATTGCATTTTTGCATGAAACTACGGGATCAGGAGCCCATGGTCTTGTCATGTTGGCATAAAATATCCTGTGGATAGAATACTTACAGCAAATCAAGGATAGGCGCTTCCATAACGTTCCTGGCTCTAAAGTATTCCTTCAGTGTTAACATTACATCGGTTGATCGTTTAGGAAATTTTCCTTCGGCTTTAAACACGGCTTCAAGATCGGCGGGACTTTGGATGTAAACATGAGTCTTTCCCATGACAGTCTCCTTGAATATCGGCCCGTACTGTTCAAACAGCTTTTTTTTAATACAAGCATGTTGAATGGATTTTGCATTCATTATGTGCTGAATCACGGAACCGAACCACGGTAATCCGCGAGGACCTGGAATCTTACTAAACGCTCGAACATCTTTTGGTAGCTGGGTTTGTGAGCCATTCCATAAACTGCGGAATTCAATGAACAACCAAGCAGCTACAAAGAGAACTACAGCGATGCATGCAACAGCCAATGCGTCCTCCATTCTGTCCACTGAATACGTGTGTTGCCGTTGAGATGAGCGAGACGACGATCGAATAGTATCCCATAATGCATTTTTCCAGACGAATCACGCGATATCGCAGTCATGGAAGAGTTCCATCGTGAAATAACTCGTGGGCTTTTTTCTCATTCGTCTTCCAGTAAAAGTAAGAAAATTGCATTATTTCGTTATTTTACATGATTTCTTCGATTTGCAATGGTTAAGAGCGATGTTTCCAAATAGAAACATTTTTTTTTCATGGTTTCAATTAGTCTTCGCATCACACCACAGGCAGACCACCCTCTGTTAGTGGGGGCCGTTGTTGATTGAAATCTGAGCAACGATCTTTTGTTATTTATAGAAGGAATACATATGAACAATACGGTAGCTATAATTTGTTCCAAAATGCAGAATTTAAAGCAAATTTTTCAATAAAAGTTTGAAGAAAATGTTAACTGAGTCATCTGCATGTTTTTTTCGCCGTCCCGAGCTGTTTTAAGCGCTATTTTGCAAGATCAATATTTGACCTCGGCGGTTAGAACTATTATAGTATTCTCGTTCGCCTGCTCGTTTCCGGTGTCATCTCCGGGATGGCAACGATTAAAATAAACTCATAAAAAACGCAATGTAGCATAAACTCTTTTTTTGTTTTTTTTCGTCTTTTTTAAGAAAGCATTTTTCTGGCTATAGCCTGGCCAGAAAAGGAAAAAATCCGTATTTTTGTGTGATGTTTGACCGATAACGCCGTAACCCAAACAAAGGTGCCACGCAGCATGCAAGCGGCAAAACGTAAAAGAGCCTGCTCAGAATTTGAAAGAAAAACAAAACATCAGAAACTTTATTTATTCAAAAGAACAGATCAGTATTCTGGCCAGGAAATTTCCTTGAAGATTGGTTGAGTCAATACCGGGTAGATTGTGCTACAGAGGATTGTTTGTCGCATCGATAGGTTAAATTTTATTTGTAACAGTAATTGCCGTTGTAAACTGAGGTCGATGCTGTAATAATAGCCTGCGAAAACATCCGTTTCTCCTCGCTCTTTGTAGGTGTCCCCAGCGGCAAAGAGCGAGGAGAAACGGATGTTTGTTTTTTAAATTCTTCTCATGTGTTTTAATGACATCGATTGCATCGATTATTACCTTTTCCAAAAAAAAAAAAAATTGGAAAAAAAAATGTTACCCTTGATTGCATCGATTATTACCTTTTCCAAAAAAAAAAAAATTGGAAAAAAAAATGTTACCCTCGACCCTCGACATGGTACCCTCGCCCTCGACATGGAACCCTCGACCCTCGACCCTCGACCCTCGACAAAAAGATAGACTCGTCAAAAACAGAGTACGTACCCTTGCATTTTATTTGAGGTCGTGTTGCGTAATTAATGACTTAACAATGCTTGACTCACGAGCAGTGTCCCGCGAAGAAATTCCAGCTGTGTTATTCAATTACAAAACAAAACGCACTGTTAGTGAAATGTTCTTCTGACTGAAATACTCATGTATGAACTCTGAATTACTGGTTGTCTTTAATTCTTTACACTAGGCTGTTAAGTAAGACTTAAGAGCCGCTAAGTTTTACTTAACCAAGAATTCGTGGGTGAAGGCCTAAGTAAAATCTCAATTAACTTTGCTTTGCATCTCATTAAAGTCGGAAAGTTGAAACGATTCAACAAAGTTTCAAGCGACTTGAAAACCATCCTTATAACCGACTTAGCTGACTTGCGATTTTTCGGTTTCTTGAGCGTTGAGAAAGGCGAGACGTGTCAATCAATGTTACAGTCAAGCCAGGTGAAGCGTACCCCCAAGATGCAATTAATGAATTTATTATTCAAAAGTTGAATCCGTTGGTAGTTGTAGATTTCAGATTCATCTCTGCATTGTTGCATGCGTAATGAGCCGTGAATTCACACGCGAGGCAGTTACGAAATTTCTGCCAGCTCAGTTTCCCTGAATTTGATGTAAATATGTAAATCTTCTAAGAAATATAATCTATTCAAAGATTTCAATCTGACCTAATACAGAGAAGTTCTCATTAGATATTCACTGCTCATAACGCATGGTTAAAGCTTTTGTGTTACCGCCAAAAAGCCGGCGCTTTTCGCTACTAGTGGGCTATAACCATAGCATATAGCCTAGTAGTAGCTCAACCAATCAGAACGCAGCATTGATAATAGACCACTAGTTGGATTTTAATATGCATAGCTCAGCTCCAGACGACGATCGCATAGCATCCCATGATGCACCTCGTTTCATGTTATGCAGTTTAACCCCGCTGTTTCGAAGTCCCAAGGGGGTTTCGAAATAACCGTGGAAGCGTAAAATTCGTGACAAAGAATCATTTTTTAATAAAATACGGTACAGTATAAAGAAAGACACTGATTAAATAAAAATACAATGGTAGTCTTTACACTAGAGCCTAAATAAGCTAAGAAATATTTCAAGACAAGTAAATTTAAAATAAAGCTTCACACACAAGCGATTCTTTTTTACTTCAGGTTATTTTCCCACGCAACACGGTCCAAACTCACTTTACACTGAAGAGATTTGTAACAAACGTTAGCGTATCCTAAATCCGGAATCACGCCGTTGACTTGTATTTTTGCTGTTCTTGCTGCGTTTTTAGGCTTAAGTTCGGCTTCTTCCTCTCCGCAAGACGTGTGTAATTTGCCCCCATTTTCTCCAGCTTTACCAACACATCCGAACGTACGAGCTAACGCAACCTCGTTCACAGGGCTTCTCAAATTGTAGTCTTGAAACCGGCTGAATGCATAAAAAAGCAAACTTATGGGCTTTTCCGGACTCCAAAATTAACAGTTATCAGCAAAACTATAAAGCTCCGCTTTAGACTTGGAAAATCCATTTATGTTAACTGCTGGCTGCGCAGCTTAGTTTCAAAATAAGACTGGAAATAATTATTTGTCTGCTAGGGAGAGAATGTCAAAGGAGGCCAAATTAACGGAAGGGGGAAGGTTGTAAACTAACGCACTTCATCAGAGAAAACACTCCTTTTCTTGTTTGATATATACCACAGTTTTAATAGCCCTTTAGATGTTGAAGAAAAGAAGTAGAAAAAAGCTTCTTAAGTGAAGATGTGTTGGAGAGATACGAAAGGTTGCTATAATTCAAACGTTTGGGGACTATTGCCCCATCATCAGGGTAAGTCTTTGTTGATTCTGATTGTCTCAGTCTCAATGTCGTTCAATTGCGACACAAAGTCACACGTTTACTTCATATGATAGAAAAAATGACTCGTTTAAATGCCCTCGATAAACTGAGGTTCTAATATCTTTCAAAAGGTAAATTATTGAAAAATTAAATTCTCGATTCGTACATAGAGGAAAGAAAGGTCCTATGTCCCATTAGCCAATCGCTGATAATTATGAGAAGTGACAATTTATCTAACCTACTATTTAACCTAGCGCAAATAAGCGGGAGACATAGTCGGCGAGTGCGACGCGAGAGGAAGACATTTTTCTTCCCGGGGCCGGGAGGAGGGGTACTCCCTAAAATGGCCTATACATATAGCCTATATATATTATTATTTTTGCCTTTCGCTCTCGAACGTCTATGTTTTCCGCTTATTCACGCTCATAAAAACAATTCACCCAATATACATGTACAGCAAAAGTTTAAGTCACAAAAGTCTTGGAGTGTACAAGTCTGTTCACACATTTCTGGGTATGCTGGCGTAGGGATTCTTCTGATACCAACATGCGCCCACACAACCAACAATCAGGCAGCCTTTCACGAGTGTGGACGTAACTATGTTCTTTAAGGTCTGACGCTGTTAGAAACGCCCGTTCACACTGGTTACACTTAAATGGCTTCTCATCCGGAGGCATTGCTTTTAGCCACTTTAAATGTGATACCGTTTTAAAATGCTTATTCAGTTGTTCCGATGATTTAAACCACATTTCGCACACAGAGCACTCAAAAGGCCTCTCATCGCTATGAGAGACTTGATGTTTTTTCAGTTCAAATCTAGTCTTGAAGGACTTTTTACATGAGCTGCAATTAAATGGTCTTTCATCACTGTGAACTCGGCTCTGGTGAACTTTGAGATGCTGTGAATTCTGGCAAACCTTTCCACACAAACTGCACTGTAACCGTTTATCGTTGTTATGCAACATCATATGCTTCTGCTTGGCGCAGAGTGTCTTGAATCTCGTCTCACACTGGTCGCACTTGTAAGGTCTCTCATCACTATGAGCCCTGTAGTGACCACTTAGCTGTGAAGACGTTGGAAACCCCTTTCCGCACAACGAGCACACGTGCGGTCTTTTGCCACTGTGCAGCCGAAGATGGCTGGTCAAAGCCTCCTGCGTCTTATAATATTTCCCACAAACTTTGCACAGAAATGGTCTACTGTCACTGTGAACTGAATTCTCGTGTCGCTTCAATTTACTTCTGTCTTTGAAGCACACACTACATAAAGAACACTTAAATGGCCTCTCTTCTCGGTGAGTTTTATAAACATGTCCTTTCAGGTGGCTTTTGCTCTTAAAGAACTTTTCACACACGTCACACTGGAAGGTTCTTTCATCAGTGTGTGCTATTTGGTGACCTTTGAGCTCATGGGTTGTCTTGAAGGCTTTATGGCATTTGCTGCACTTGAAAGGCCGTTCATCACTGTGTACTATACGGTGTCTCTTAAGCATTGCAGTTGTCCGGAAGCCTTTCCCACACTGAGTGCAGTGAAAAGGTGTCTCTTTACTGTGTGATAGACTGTGCTGCTTCAGACATTTGGCTTTCATGAAAGTGCTGTCACACTGACTGCACTTAAAAGACCGCGCACGGACAGTGTGCGTTTTTAAGTGTTCGGTCAAATCTCCACTTCTCTTAAAGCGCTTTCCACATTGACTGCACTGAAAAGGTCGATCATCACTGTGAATAACAGCGTGGTTTCTAAGAATTTCCTGACTTTTGAAGTGTTGCCCACACTTGCTGCACTGGAATGGTCTGTCATCTGAATGAACGACGGCAAGGTGTCTCCTCAGCTTGTCAGGAGTTTTAAAGCCCTTGCAGTCACACTGATTGCACTTAAACGGTCGCTCTTTACTATGTACAACACTATGTAACCTAAGAGCAGCCGGGCTTGGAAATAACTTATCGCAATCATCACACTTGTATTTCCTTACTCTGGAATACTTACGAACACCACGATCGCCATCATCACGCTCACGATCACGTTCCTCGCTATCCCGATCACGATCATCACACTCATGCTTGATTTCAGAAACTTCCATAGTTGACAAATTTTCACCCTCAGATGAAGACTTTGATGCTGAAGCACTCTTCTTGGTTGCTTTCTGGGAACAACTCCGGTTTAAATCTTTTACTGAGCTTTCTTTTGAATCATCATGTTTATGTCCCACTTGATCCATGTTTTTCTACAAGTACCTGTCCTGAAAACACAAGGGGAAAATTATTGACAACGCTGAAAACTATTTAAAAATGGGGCAAAGAAGGGTATTATGTAGGGATAAAAGCTTCCACAAATAAAAAAAATAAAGATTTGAGATTTGAGTGATTGCCTTATCCAAGAAAGCCTGTCATTAGTCATTAGTTTTGTTTCGTTTATTCTCTTGCCTGTCTCTTTGCCCTCTTCCCCAACCCCCACAAGAATTCTTTCTTCTGCACCCCCTTCCCTTCCCCCCAAAGTGCCTGCATCATAGCTCTGACAGAAAATGCCACAACACCAACAGATTAATAAATTTAATTTACCCTATGGATGAGAGAGTGAAAAATATTTCGGCACTACTTTCTACTTTTTAAACTTCAGGTAACATGTTACTGTAAACTCCCTTTAGCAATAAGTAAAGAAGTGTGAAAACACCAATATTAGAATTTTCAAAATTATGGGCTTTGTTAGGACCTTCTTAGACAGAAAGGATGATAAATTCCTCCTCAGCCAAAAACAGTGTGTATTAGAGAAAAATCACAGTGGTCAAATGTAAATGCTAATAATTTAAACTAAAACTGCAAGATAATACTTGCTTTTTGCAAGGAGGCAATTTCATATTGCTCTTTCTGAAACAAGTAGCCTACCATGCAGATGTTCTTAGGGTTTTGCAGACATGGGGGAGGAATTTGTGACAAAGCCCTAAGAACGTCTGCATTGGAGGCTAGGAACAAAGCCTCAAGTGACTGTTCACATAACAACAATTCTTTGGAACAATGTAATCTTGAAGTTTATCTGAAGTCACTTATCAATAATTAATTATTCTGCTCAATCAAACAACAGGAAATGCACAAAAAATGTGTCATGTTAATGGAACACAAGTCTGGTATCACTGTAAGATAAAAGATCACCTGACACACAATCACATGGCAGTACAATACATGCCACAATTAAAACACAGAATTAAAAAAGACAATCATTCAAATCAGCACTAAAGCAATTAATTGTCCCATTCTGTTTTTTCCAGTACCTCAAAAGACATTCATCAGTTTTAAATACAAAATTATATTAACTACATAAAAGGACCAGAAAAATATATATTTGAATCTATTAGATAACCACTGATGAAATACCAGGTTAGCTTTGGCGCAAAAACATGATATCTTGACACATTAAATTAACATGTTTTATTATATGGCTACAACAGTATGCACACTCTGATTGGCTGTTTTCTTGTAATGACCAGGCATTATTTCCTTGTAATGACCAGGCATTACTAGCTAAGTGTCCAAGGCATAAACATTCTGTGTTTAACTTGATAGTAGACATCCTTATGGACATCCACGTTATGATCAATTGACAGCTGTCAAAAAGGGTATCCGCTGACAAGTATCACCTGAATGTGTACAACTCAAGTGTACAACTCATTGCGGTGACATTTTTTAAGTTATCCGCTGACCAGTTGTTGGTTTTCATTGATCGCAGGCTCAGTTCCATAATGAAAAGGCCAAATAATAAATAACTTATTAACCTAGTCCATTCGGTCATTACAAGGAAATCTCAGACCTCGGCCTTGATGTATTGAACTCAAGGCCTCGGTCTAAAATTTCCCTGTAATGACCTCACTCTCAGTAAATAAGTAGTATATCTTCACACATGGTCACCATTTTATTGCTACATGTATGGCTACATTTATCCTCTCATGTTCAGCAACCAAAAGAGACAGATTTCATAGATACTTGCATGCCCATGCATGTCGTATCCTCTATGTATTTTAACAGAATTTGTCTTTTTTTAGCTATTTTGAAACAACAGCCCATCTCAGTGGTCTGAGCTCATGTATTTTGTATGTTCTTGGGTGTCACAAGTTGATGGACCAGCTCCATGAGGCTGAAGATACTACAGTCAAAAAGTTCAGGGCTCTGCTCTTGCAGAGCCTGGTGACCTCTAGTGCCTAACTTACACTCCTGGGTGACTCAAAAATCTTACTTTTTTTCTTGCAAATCATATGCTGAACACCCTAAATTTTACAGGTTCAGAGTACTGTGCTCCCTTGAATTTTCCTTAAAGCACAGCCTTGTCATATTTGGAACAAATGAGATTTTGGCATAAAAGATTTCACCACTAAAAGTCAAACAAGAGCAATTTGGTTCTTCACATTTTTTTCTCTTCAAAAGCCGAACATTAAAATTACTTCCTTCTTTTAAACAATATTGAGTACAGAGATGGTGCAGTTTAAAGGTTCATATTTTAATAGAGCTGTTACCTTAAGAAAGCTCCAATTAAACCACTTGACTTTGTAAAGAAAAGAGATCTATTTAGTGAAGTGTGCTCCCCACCATTTGAACAAGCTCCAAATATCTTTTATAGCATCTAAGTTGGTTTGATGTTAAAGATTGCCCCACAGCCCTATACATGACTATTGTGTGGAACTTACCTGGCTCATATAAATTGAATGAACACATTACATATCGATGTTAGCAAAACCCGGCACTGTACATTGCTAAGCAATAGTCCATGTACGTAAACATCTTTTTGTGATTCAAATGTATCAAACACTGAAACAAAGAACCTCTGATTGTTTCCAGGGTCACTTCTCTCGAGCGGTCTCATATATTTTTAACTTTACGAGAAATATGTTTATCACAGAACCAAACAACAATTAAAGATTATTAACAGAATCCCATAGAAAAGATGGGGGCATTCATAAGATATCATTAAGCTTGAGATTTTGCAGTCAATAAAATTGGTGGTTACAACCACAGCTACACAGGCAAGTTCACGAGTGAGAATCCTTACATAACAGAAATATTATAAGGGCCAGCTGTGTGGGGGTTTTAGTGTTCATTATTCAGGGGGCTAAATGTCAACATAGCAATAAAAATACAACCTATCTTCTTACCTTGTCTCCTTGTTTCATTGATGGTGTGCTCTTAGCATTTTTGGCTGTTTCAGGGACATTCTGGAAAGTTTTGGTTCTGTCGTTGTTCTCTCCATATGTTATTCCCCAAGGTAAACGTGTCGCATATCCACTGAAGAATATCAGCTGAAATTCCTAATTTACTTAAGTGGATAGGCGAGACCTTCGCTAGCAATTATTAGTCACCAACGTTGGGGAAGTCATTGTTTATACTCAGAACAATAGCAGAACCTAAACTCAATGGAATCGCTCTGTAAACGGGCAAGAATGCTAAGAACAAGTTCAGATGTATTTTCATTGCTATTTTTAACCCCCTCGTACCGTAGCGATCGCTAAAATCCCCACAAGGTCACGATGAGTCCAGAATCTCACTTGTCGACTTGTGGCACGTACAGATGACTACCATTTCGGCCAAGAGAGTTTACGCTGAGTACACAGTGTGTTTTAGGTGAATATAGTTCCTTTGATATAATATTATTATCATTAATATTGCACATATTCTTTAACTTTTGTGAATCTAGCCTACTGACCGTCAACTTTACCTCGCACCATGTTAGCCACGAGGTTAACCGAAGCCGAGTTTAACACCGTTCCCTTGAATTTTTAAGCTTCACAATTACTATTTTCATAGCTTTTGCACAAGGAGAATCCTTTCACGTTCTTGTACAACAGCCGTTCAAAACATACCTCTGACAACAATTTCCAACTGTCCGCTTAACTCCAAACAGCGCCCGAAGATTCCCGTTGTGTGTTCAGGAGCTTTTGTTTCTCTGTTGTGATCAACCTGGTTCTAACTCTTCCGGGGTGGGGACAGGAGTTATGACGCCGTTTGTATCACCTGTCGTGGTTTTAGTGCGCACTAAAAGCAAACTAAAGGAAGAGGCCAAGTCAGGGGGTCCCGAGGGTATTGGCTGGATTAAAATCATGAGAACAGCAAACACAGAAGAATTAAACGACTAAAATGCTCACTGGTCAGATATTACTGCCGCAAAAAAGACTAAACCAAATCTGAGCTTCACCATTTCATCGCTAACCTTCCAGTACCTCACAATAAACACGTAGTCGGGCCAGTTGGTGAGGAATTCAGCTTTCGTCAACCACACCTCCTAAAGCCAAAAGGCAATATGAATTCTTATGAGTCATATTAGCTGTATCTCTCGATTGTAGCCTTGTCATTAACTGTGTTATCCCACATACCTGGTATTAAATGGAATCGGTTGGTTGATCTTTCAAGGACCTAAATATTTTCCCTACTCTCTAGTGTAAGAAGAACTTTTTAGGGGGGAGCTAGCAGATTTATCAGTCTTCAACAAACTCGGAGATGTGACTTCTTTCTTTAAACTTCCTTTAATAGTTACCGAACTTCACTGTTTGCACGATAGCTACAATTTACTCTCTCGATTATGGTGTGGCACCTCTTTTTACAGTGACCAGAAACCCACCTGTTCCGGTTCAAATCAATGGTTGCATACGTCTTCTGTGATTGGCTAGAAGAGACTCGTTACCATTGAACCTTCGAGTTATTGATTTCGGCAAAACAGTTTACTTTCTTAAATTTCACCTAAAAGCATAGGTTGTCCAGTGAATATAAAACAAAGAGAGCAATATAAAAATTACAGATAATTTTTTTCTAAATAAAATCCTTACGATAACAGTGAGAAAAGTACTAAAATTGCAGTTTGAAAATCATGTTTTCGACGCACAGAAGGTGTTAATTTCCTTCATCGAAAATGATTGGCTAAACTCTTTCATAAATTAAAAAAGACGTGTGTGGAATATTCGTAGGACAAATTAAAAATGCAGTTCACGGTAGAGAGCAGAAATTTCAACAATAGATATTTACTCTTAACCAACACCTGTGAGTTGGAGGATATTCCATACTATTATTATTCAGCGCCGAAAATATGGAAAATGAGCTAAGAATAGGATAAAGGTAATTTCCTGGAAATCCAGACGAGCGGTCAAATTAAGGCGAAATATCAAACCATGCAATATTATATATTTTTTTTAAATTCAAACAAACCTTTGTTGAAAACCTTAATTAAACAGTATTCTACGATAGAAGGGTTGTCGTGGAAGTGCCATAAAATAGAACATATTTGTTTAAGAACGAATTTATGACAGGAGAAGGTTTATGTTGATGACTATTTAATTTTAAACGTCGATATGTAATTCTAAACAACTAATACGTGAATCTTCGTGATACCTGGCATTTTAAAGAGAAAATAACAGAAACCACTTAGGCCCCGTCCACCCTTATTCCGATGTTTTTGAATCAGCTACTTTTTCTTTCCGGATTCAAAAATTTCCATGTTCACACGTATCCGGTGAATGCGGCATACGAATCCGCAACTTTTTGAAGCCGCTTTCCAGAGTGGAAATTTTGAATGCGCGATTAATCCGGAATCGTGTGGACGCTTTTATCCGGTGACGTAACAAGGTCGAGCCCAGTTCTTTTCCCCTAATACAGTATTCGCCACTTTTACATCTCCCATAATAAACCATGTTTGCCCCCCCAAGCCCCCGCCCCCAGCTTTGATCACGACAAATGAACTATAAAATCAAAACAGCAAAGACAAGAGGGACTTACGCTTCCAGATATTTTTGACAGTTACATCATATTTTATGTCCACTTTACTTGTTAAGTCTCGAATATCATACACGTTATGCATTACCCAGCTGGTTACAAACTATTCACAACTTGTCCTTAGTCTTGTCTTACAAATCTGGCTAATTTATCGTTTGAAGTTAGCCTCCTTGAATTTGAAAGTTCTTTATCCGGAGTAATATCTCTTGGCGCAAGGACTTCTCGGTCACATTTAAGAAGAACTGGTAACCAGTCAGGAACACTTGATGACGAGGTTCTGTTGGCATAGGGAAGGTAGTAGAAGTTTCGAACTTGTCGGGGAGACAGACTTGGCTCGTTTTCTTGCGTCAACTCATCAACTGTGTTGGCTTTTTTCTCCTTCTTCCATCTTTGGCGTCGATTTCTAAACCACATCTGAAAAAAGATAAACAAACAGCATAGATATACAAGCATAGCACTGGTTTTATGAGCTTTTCAAATGTCAATTTCGCTACTTGTCAAATTCCGTACGCGGTTCGTTAAAGCGGCATACATTTTCATAGTTTCTCTCAACTAAGAAATATGCGTTACAAAGTATCTTCTTACGCGGCTTACAGTACGAGACACGTCGTCTGAAGGAAAAAATCTATTGTAGCGAAGAGTATTTAGTGGTATTCAGCTCATTCCTAGGGTAAAACCTGTATGCCATTACAATTGCAGTGGTTGGCGTAATAAGACACCTATATCTCCAAAGAGGATCCTGGATGTTGACTTGTCTTACTTGCTCAAGAGAAGAGAATTTTTTGTAGATTTTAGAAAAAGGGTTCTTAGACGCGGGTTCTTACTGCACATACAACTGAATCTATAGAGCATAGATCACGCGTTTTTGTCGAAACATCAGGTTGCCAGTAAAAGTACCTGAACGTTGAAGTAGGTAAGCCCAAGCTCTATTGCTAATGCTGATTTCTCTCTTCTGTTTGGAAACATATTCTTCAGAAAAAGCTGTTCTAGTGCTGTCTTTTGTTGAAGGGTCAGACACGTTCTCCTCGAGCGGCAAGACTGCTCACGAGCGTCCTGTTCTGATTGGCATCGATTGGGAAGAAGATCTGCTAATATAAAACCAATATACGAGTTAAAGGAGCTCTGTCAAAAATTTATCAGAATTCAAAAAGGGAACTGCCATCAAATTGCGTGAAACATGAAAATAACAGCTCAAAATGTTAAAAGAAGGGATGGATAACACGCGCGGCAAATACAAAAGAATTAAGGCGCGGATAGACAAATCTTGAAGAAAATTGAAACGGATTGCAATGGTTGTTTTTGAAAACTTGTTTGCCTAACAGTTTTTCAAAGTTAATTTTTGCTGTTTTCAAGTTTGAAATAATGCTTGGAGGTATACTTGTTAGACACAAACCAAGAGACTATAAAGGGGACAGAGAGGGCATCCCCCCTATACACCCTATTCCATAGGTAATTCGTCTCGAGTTATTTTTAACACCACAGATCTCAAGGGGGATTAGACAACAGCCAATCACATAGTGCGAATGTGTTCCGCGTGGATGACCCACACTGAGAGCCACGCGTCCTTCACGAAATGACGCAAAACAAAATGGGGGAAGACGCGGAGAGCGATTTTGCTATTCCTTTTGTCGACGAAAACGACTACAGCAAGATTTCTGCGAAAGCTGTGTCAGCGAAACCGAAATTAAAAAAGAGTCGCCCTTCCTCTCTTGTATAGAGCTAACAGTAGAGCAGGGAAATCCTGAACACACTGAATATTCTCTCAGGATCATTTATAATTTACAGTTTGAAGAGAGCAATTTCGGGTTTGATGTTTATTTTTTCAGTCTTTATAGCGATTATTCCTACCCACTTTGTCAATTGTAGGCGAACCCTCCTAAAGCTGAATTTCAAGGGACCATATTCAAGCTCACTAAGAAAAATAAAATTTCGTCGTTGCTTATTTACGTCCTCCATAAAACGCGAAATTAGGCATTTTCACGTCGTAGTCGTGCAAAAACGGGAAAGAAATGAACAAAAAAGTGTGTTGCACGTGCGAAGTTGTTGTTTTGCTAATTAAACCTATTGTTTTTTTGACGTTCTAGTTGTCGTCCGCGTCGTTGGATCTTAAACTCCCTAAATTGTACAAACGACCGGTTTCAATAGACCGGCGAAATTTCTCATTTTATTAAAGCACTGAGGTTACGACAACTTCGAGTTAAACTGATTTCACGGGTTGTCAAAGAGTCCAGCGATTCCTTTTTCCCAGGTGAGCGCCGACTCATTTCGCTTCAATATTCAGGAATGCTCTCGATCTTTTTACGCTTTCATTGCCTCTCGCCCGACATGTTTTGCACGGCGTTTGGTCATGCGAAACCTCCACGAAACATCCACGCCTCGCGCGAGGTAACTTTATCCCGATTCTAAAAATAACTCGAGACGAATTACCTATGGAATAGGGTGTATATGGGGGATGCCCTCTCTGTCCCCTTTATAGTCTCTTGACACAAACCTGTAATTTTGTCATTTATAAGATATTTCTCAACTGTCATAGCGAATAAGGACGCTTAAAATTGCATCATAAACGGCAAAATGAACTTGCAAGCTGAGACACAGCCCCTGTAAAGTCGTCATCAAACTGACTCCTGCTTAAGACTTAAGTTATCTCGCTAACATGATACATCGTTCAATTAGTGCTACTTTGCACCCTGTTACACGCAACAAACTGTAATTAAAGTTCACTTACCCAGAAGAACAAGCAATGCCGAAGGATCAGTTTCTCCGAAGTCTAGCCGACGGCGAACGGAGCTGTTGCTCGCATTTTCGGTATGATAGCGATCTGTTCTGGCTGGCCGAGGTTTCTTGACAACTTCTCCAAAATCCAGTTTACGCCTGACATAGTCTATTGGCGAGGAAAAGATAAGTGTTTCAGCAAAACGATTGGGACGAGACATGTCGTTGTAATTCTCGGCGAGTCTATTCAACGCACGCGTAGTGTAATTGCTTCAACTGACTTGTGTTTACACATTCAATGTTCTTTACTTATATAGCCTTCTTGAGTAGGAGGAGATAAGTTTTTCTTGTTTCAGGTATTTGCTTTTAAAAAACAATAGATGTAAAATTGAAAGGACTTGAAGTGCTAAGATGATAATTAGCACTCTATTCTGTAAACATCAAGAAATTGTTCTCACCTTCCTATTGGCTGAAGCATCGAACTTTTTACAACACTATATAACAATATGATACGATATAATAACTTATTAAGTAAAAGAACAAAAACTTGATAATCACACTCCAATTCAAATAAACGGCAATGACGCGCTTTGAAATATCTCACCTATATTGGCCCTACGACTAACTGCTTTATACAGTACCTTTTTTAAGGAATGAATGGAAACGCGCTTTTTCTCGTGAAATTATTTTGTGCCTAACACAGTCGTGATGTTGATCAGGAGAAAATAAAGGACGGTAGAGCGAGAGATCAGAGGGAGGAAAAATAACTCTTTTCTCTTCCTCTGGTCTCGAGGTCTTAAGAATACTTTTCTCAAGGTAGCATTACTAGATTCTAAAATGACCGAGCGAGAAATACTGCTTCCAGCGTGTGCGTTGATGTGAGAGAGACTTACAAAAGGTAGAGAAAGCCTACTTTACCAGCTCTTACGAACTTTCACTAGAATTTATAGTTGAAAACTATCTAAAAAATAACTATACAAATTCAAGAACGCCCAATTTTGAACTAAGCTTGAGCCACTGGCTGAAAGTTCTTGCCTAAATAAGAGAAGCAGGAGTGAAACTCGGAAAAGAAAAAGAATAAACAGATGATATCATTCCTGGTGGTCGGTACGGGTATAAAAGGCTCATTTATCGTTTGTCTCGCGATAGAGACACTCGATCCCTTTCACACAGGTCTGGACAAATTTTTGAGGAGAGAAAAACTTGCACGGATCTGCTTTCAGTTTACACGGGACCCGCGCACCGTGCAAGTTTTAAAACGGCAAGGTGTGAACTTTTTGTAACAGAATACGCGCGGATCCGTTTAGACGCGTTGCACAGGTAAAAAATTAGTCAGTTCAAAATTTTTCCGGGTTCATGTAAACAGGGTCTTGGTTGTTCATCGCGACGCTTTGACCGCTCACTGCTTATCTTCTTAGTTTGTGATTGGTACATTATGAACCTTACTTATGCATGGTTAATGGCGTTTCGATCCAACAAGACAAGACAAGATAAGACAAGGCGAGATATTTATTATCATAATATTGCCTGTACAATTTCTTGGCACGCAGTTAGCAAGAAAACGCTAGTCGTGGCGTGCCAAATTAATTCTATTACAAATCAGATATTACAGATAATAAGTAAAAAGCAAAGAAAAAGAAGAAAAGAATATGTGTAATAAAGTTAAAAGCACGAAAGAAAAATCTGTTTAATGCAAGTTGTGAAAAGAAGCTAAAGTTTAGGATTTCGCGATTTTATTTCTCGTGTTATCATGGTTGCATCCAGGTAATCATCTTTGTCTTTTAATATTTCAAAGAGCATACTGATTAGTTTTCGTTTAAACGCCTTTCATCCTAAGCATGCCACTGTCCCTCAGCTGAATACGCTTTAGCTGCTGTGTTTACGTTTCTGGATTCCGCTTTCCGCCACCACCTTGATGTTTTTGGGGAGAAGCCTGATAAATACCAGCAGTACTAGGTCGAAACATCGAGATAAAAATGACTATGGCAAAACAAACGATAAACAATCCCATCAAGGAGAGAAAAAGTTTGTCAAAAAAGCTTACTGCTGAGATTATGAATTTATGTGAATTTCATATGCCCACTAGTGGTGCAGGAACGCGTGACGAACCCCTAAGAACGTCCGCGTCAGAGGGTAGAAGGCATCGGACCGGCATCATCGATAATTTTGCAGTTAATGACAGGAGCACTTTTACAGTTGTTTAATACACTAAAGCCCCGCGCAAACGGACGCAACTATTCGCCAACAACTCCCAGCATTGTGTTACATGTTGCGTCCGTTTGCACACCCTGTTGCATGTTGTTCATGTTATTGCCTGTTGTTGGACTGTTGTTGTGCAAAGTTTGTAACCGGCCAAACTTAAGCCTTTAGCTACATGGAAACGGACGCAACAACTCCCAACATTGTTAGGCCGGCAATGTTGGGAGTTAATGCGGCCGTTTTCACCAACCTTGATGTTGGGAGTTGTTACTCAGTTTGCACGTACTATAAATCCTCTGCTAAGCCCCCCAAGCCCATTTGAAGGGGGAGGGGGCTTATTTGAGAGGGAGGGCTTATTTAATTTAGAAACGACGATGGTATCAGTTCTCCATAAAGAACTAGAATACAAAGTGGAAACGCTCAAGTACGAGAAGTTTTAGGTCATGTCATGTGTAGGGGCTAATTAACTTTCTTCTTCTGAAAAGGGGGGCTTATTTGAGAGGGTGGTTTGACAGAGGATTACGTATTCCCCGCGAGGGTGGTCGCGTGACTTGGTTCCAGTATTTTCTCCGCCTCACATTGTCCATTGCGTGACTTGTTCCCAGTCTTTTCTCACGCTCACATTGTCCTTTGTCGTGGTAGACAACGTGTTCTGGGTGCTACTGTTATTGTAGATTCATAACATAAGTTTTCTTTAAATATGGCTGAAGTTTCCCAAAATCCGTCGAGAACTGTCTTGGTAGCAGTAGACAACAGTGAATACAGTCTGGAAGCGTTCGAATGTGAGTACACAGGAGTACGGCAAAAAATCTAACGTGCATGTGCCTGTTCATACTGAATTATTAACGTGCCACCTTTCACGAATTCAGCTGTAAGTTAATCACACGCTTTAGTCGAACTCGAAAAACGGTTTTTAATCTCAAAAAGGAAACATGTCAGTGCTAATGTCTTCGGATTTTAAAAATGGTTTTCCCCCGCATCCTAAATTTTAACATGGTTACGCTGCCCATTTCAGGACAACTTTGATCTGCTTTCATTACACTCATTAAATATTCATTATAAGTTTAAATTTAATGCTTAGTTTTATTTATATTTCTTTTATTCGTCGTTTTTTGTCTGTTTTTCAGTAATATTATAATACGACTTGGAATGCTTGGAATGTTTTTTACAACCATGAACATTAGCAACAAGATATCCCATTAACCCACAAAACCATCATACCTCTTAGCTACTACCCCCCCCCCTCCCACCCCCGACAATAGAGGTACTCATTCAAAAGAAAAAAGGAGTTTGCAGATCTCCAAAAACAGAAAAATATAGATGGAGAAAGATAGGTAAGGGAAGGGGAGGAGAGGAGAAGGAAGGGGCAGGGGGTGGGGGTTGGTAAGCATGATTTCACCTGGAGATGGATAAAATCTAAAATTCAGACAAGATGAAAAAAATCCAAGGATTCCCAACTCCAGGGAAGGAGGAGGGCCTCTCAGACATCATTCATTAATTATTTAATTTATAAAGTACCATTTTTGTTTTTATAATGTGCCATCTGTGATGATGCACAGCTAATAGATCTAATTCACTTTTCCAAATCCTGACAGGGTTCCTGGCGAATATCTACATGAAAGGAATGGATGAAATTATTCTATTGCATGTAGCAGAACAACCACATGTTCCATTTTTAGCTGGTAAGTGCCCACATTGTCCCTCATAAATATATACTAAAGTGATTGACGACTGTGTTTGAAATAAATTAATTCCTGATATTTTTGAGCAACAGGCTGAAGCGGTTTTTGTAGTAATTTTTTTTTTTTCGGGGGGGGGGGGGGGTTGGGAAAACCCCCCAGGGGGGGAACATTGGGGGGGCCCCAATCTGGGAATATGGGGAAACCCCAAAAAAAAATTGGCAAACCCCCGTAAAACCAACACAAAATGCGAAAAAAAACGTATCACGAATTTGATAAATTTAACTTTTATTTTAAATAATTGTTGTTGTTATTTTTTGTGATGAGTGGGGTTGGGTTTTTTTTGTTTTTTTTTTTTGTTTGGGGGGGGGGGGGGGGATTGGTCAAATCCCCTAGGATGGAGACATTGGGTGGTACCCAATACTGGACATAGTGGAATACCACAAGAAAAATTGGCAAATACCGATATACCAAGTCCAAAATTGACAAAATACTGATACCGCATTTATGATCAGTCAAGCTTACTTAAAGTTGCTTCCACCTAGCGTAATGACGCCCCCTGTCAACATGTGTTAAGTGAAAGACAGTCTTCATAAAGCTACCTGAGAGTGAATTTTTTTTAGTAGTAAAGCAAAGCATTCATGATGAGCTCAACTGCAGCATACAAGACTGTACCTGTCTATATTTCCTTTAATTGTTCACTTTTTCTTACTCTCCTTTTCAGAGGTAATAAATTACAACCATTTTTTCATCAATACAGACAGTTTGATCGTATAATTTAAATTAAGAATACTGGAACTCATATTCCAAGGACTAAAGTTTCAAAATTTTCTGACAGATGCCTTGGGTATTGAGGAATGGAAACAGGAAGTGAAAAAAGTAGAGGAGCATGTCAGAGCTGTGGAAAAGAAATTTATCGATAGGTGTAAAGAGCTAGAGGTAGGGTTGTGTAGGTGTAGTGAATAATATCTACCACTTCAATAAGTGATGCCACCCTCGAATTAGTGCCACTGAGCCCTAATATAATTGAAATCGTAAGGCTTCAATTTTTTTAGTTTATAGAAAATAATAATAGTGTACGATACTGTAATACAAAAATAATATTTTGCATTTGGTCCAACTTTCAAATAAATATTGTCCTCAAATAAATGCTGCCCTTGAATATTAGCACCACTTTTGAGGCATTTAAAATTTAACAAGAATGCTCTTACAGCGGTATTCAGTCACACTTGCTTGGAGATTAGATCGAGAAAAAACACAAAACAGGATTTACCCGCTAAAGGTTTTTTACTTCCTACTTTATTGAAGTTGGTACTTTTTATTTGTTTCTGAATTGATTTAACGCATGTTAGTCATGACCGGAAATATGTCTGGAGTCACAGGCTATACACGTGTATAAATACACGAAAATTCAAGAGCCTCGATTCCAGAGAAATAACATCATTGCTAGAGATCAAAAGAGTGATTTACGTGGCACGTCATTTCAATCATCGCTGAAAATAAACCGCATGCTCGTCAGACGACCATTTGCATACAATGAAAGTTTACAACACCCAACCATCGCAGTTTTGCTAAGATTCTCATTTTCTTTTGACCACTCAGTAGTGTTCACTTTTTCTAAAGTAATCAACACTTTCAAGCGATAGAATTCGTGGACCAACATGTCCCGCAAAAGCTCGAAATTTAATCTTTCCTAAGCTTTCTTCGCAAAACGTGCATGGCTTCGATCACACAACAATTCTTAGTCCCAGTTTCAAGGGTCTCTGCAAGGAATTCCTGGCACAATGACCTCCCCTTTGTGTCCTGAATACTACAAATAAATAAATATTTTATTGTGGTTTCTTTCTGCCTGACAGCTTGCTCATGTGACTTTCAAGTTGGAGCAAGGCAAACCAGGAGAGAAGATCTGTGAAGTAGCCTTGAAAGACAAAGTCAAATTTATAGTGTTAGGCAGCCGTGGCATGGGAGCAATAAGACGCACTGTTCTAGGAAGTGTAAGCACTTATGTCATCCATCATACAAAAATCCCAGTTATTTTTTGCCCTAAAGATCATAACTAATCAAAACTTGTCTAAAAAGACCTCATGGGGGTCCCTTTAAAATGAAGGGGTGCTTTTTGTACCTTTAAGAGGCTGAAAGTTGAGGATTGGTACCACAAGAGCTTAAGGGAACTACTGACTTCTTTCTTACTTGTAAACTTAGATAGATTATTGTAATCAAAAGGTTGGTGGTGCCCTTAAATTTGTTGTCAGTTCGTGTACCTCTAAAAGGTGAAATTGAATAAGAGCCACACCCATGAGTGAGATCTAGGGTGCTTACCATTTGACAGATAAATCCAGTTGAGTGTAAGCATAACAGGCTATTTGATTACTAGTTTATTGTAGAATTGTTCCTTCAATTACAAGTTGAATCTGAAAAAGGCTCAAATTTGTGTAGCGTGATTCTGGAACCAAACAAATGGAAAATGGCAAGTAATATTCCCTTCAGTTTAACCAACCTTAATGAAAGCCTGTTAACGCAAAATGTAGTCCTTAACGTTTGGTTGGAATTTCCAAAAAATCACGTTATAAACAATAGCATTCCTCCGAAATAATGAAATTTTTTAGCTAAATGGTAAGCACCCCCTTGTAGAGTGTGGGGGTGAGGGGTGTTTTGCAAAGGTTCCAACAAGCTTCCCTTTTTTTATAGGGACGTCACCCAACATGGTTTAAATTACCCAACAATCTAATTGTTCTGGCTTGTATAATGAGGTTTCAGTTCGTTTCACCACATAGTTGTCTAAACTGACAGAATTTAGAACTTTTAGCAGGGCTTATATTTAAAGACAGAGGTTTAAATATGAAGAGAGAGTATAAAATCCAAAGATTGTTTTTGTTTTAAATGTCACTTGTCAGAAAAGGTGTTAATTAGTAGTTACCGACATTCAAAGATTGTCTTCATTAAGTTGTTCATTATTTAATTTCCAAAGTGAGAACAATAAAGCCAGTCAGTTATTTAAAATTCTGTTATCTTTCCTCTGGGGGCAATGTTTGCTTACCCTTTCTAGCTTTCTCTTTGTCTTTTACCCTGCATTTTATCCAAGTCTACTGGCAAGTATGACTGTAGCCTATTCTAGGCTCTCAGATAGTAGGGAAGACGCGAAAGAAAAAAGCACGCGAAAGGTTTGGGGGGCGAGGCGCCGCCCCTGCTCTCCCCAGTTTCCTCCCGTTATATTTTCGTGTTTGCGCTTTCTCAATTCAGCGGACCCGACTATCTTGGAGCCGCTAGTATGACTGTTAATTATAACTCGATGTAAGATTTCTTTTTGTTTCAGGTCTGTTTGTAGCCTGAGAAAACAGCCGACTTTTCACGGAGAAACCAGGGGTGGCATCGCAAAATGTCGGCTTTCTTCCAACAGACTAGTCTGTCCGCAACAAATTTATTTTCTGAATACACCGATCCCACGGCATGGGCGGTCAAGGGCGTGTCGACGGTCGTCTGCTTAGGGGTGAGCAGGGTGCCAAAGGCGTCTTGGGAACCCCTAGCTCTCTCCGCGATCTCTGGAATCGACGCCAAAAGCAAAAAGAGTCGAAAAAGAACAGAACCGTGAATACTGGTAGGCTCCATTTACCCTGGGCAAACGGCTAGTCTATGTGGTAGAGCGATTAGGTCATAACTATAAGGAAATCATGGTTGCCAACATGTTCAACCCGTACCCGTAAAGGTCCCTGTCATGAAATGATTTGGATTCTGGCAGCCAAAATTATTAGAAGTGCCTACGCTGTTGTCTCTATGAGTCGGTATCAAAAGTTTATCAGGAACACCAAGAGATAAATTTGCCTGTGGTTAATGGCCATATTATTTCAAACAGGTTCCATAATTGTCTCCTTCAACCATTTCTGAAATGTTAACCTTTAATAGGCAAAAGAAACACCGGGACATTAATTTGTTTTTGCACTCGAGTGTGGACATTTTTCTGCTGTTTCTATTGGGTAAACGTTTACCTTTTTAAGTGGATAGGAGCTTTATTTGTCTGTATTGAATGGTTTTTTTTTTTTTGCAACAAGTTACATTTATTTCATTTTAACCGAATTTCGTGACTCCTTTATGGGTAAAGTTTACATTGCGTAGTAAAGACCCTGGGGCGTTAAATTCCCAATTATTTGCTTTTCCGGCAGCCAATATAGATTTAAAGGAGTTGTGTCACGTTTTTTCTGGTATAGCTGCTGAATCGGTCAAAAACATTGGACTAAAAGAAAACTCAGACTGCTATGGAAAAGGATGAAAATAGATTGCAACTTAAGAAACAAATTAAATCATTGGACCTAACATGCGAAGTAATGACCGGTGAGGATACATAACAAGACATAACGGTACTTGGTTGCTGATTTCAGATACGTGTTTTGACCCAAAAATATGACATTTATCATTACAAAGCCCCTTTTGCCCTCGGGTTAAGTTTTGACTATCATGTCCTCTCCTGCACTTGACTGAGCAGCGCAGTGCTTTTAAAATTCCTGATTTTTTTAGGTGTTAGTTATTTGCTTTGTTTTGTTTCTACTCATATTATATATTGTTTTCTCTTTCTTTCATGTGTAAAAAGCAAGCCACTTAGGTGATCAGCATGTCGCTTTTCTTAACTTCCGACAACCCAGTCGCCCTCAGTTCCCGCCGCAGCAGCAGCAGAATGATTAAAGAATCGATTCGCCATCAGCCTAATCCCTTAACCAGGAGAACAATTAACTTACTTGTCTGGCGCTGGTTTTCCTAGTTTACAAGCAGATTGTGTAAACTGTGCATTCAAATTACATCATTAACTGTGTAAATGATTACAAGGATCGAGAAGATAAATCTTTCTTTCCCAGTAGTTATCAGTTTTCATTTTATGAAGGAAGTGATTTTTTGCCTCGCCAATTGTATGTTGCCCCAGCAACGGGGTTTACATGAGGGTTTTTTTAACTGAGATTTTTAAAGAATAAACAGGAATCGCCGAAAGGCGGTTTTAACTGGACTGCCAAGAGGCGATTTTTTCTTTGGGGAGGTGGCGGCTGTACACACTCAGGCTACTATAAAACCTTGGTCGCCGACCATTGCGTTAGATAGAATCTCGGGAAGAGTGGAACATAAACTCATTTGAACATTCTACCCTTTTGGAAGACTTTCGTAGGCAAGAAAAATGCGTACCATTTTTAAGTCGGGCTGTATAGTAACTTAAATTCCACGATTACCGTGTGGCACGAAATTTTTGCGGGATCGAGTTTATAACTTTTGAGGGTTGGCGATTTTTTGTGTTTTACAGGAACTAATTTTTGCAATAAGAACAGGTTGGTTTTTCTTGCCTGGAATATTTTTTTTGCGATTTTCAGAAAGTACCCAGTACCCAGCATTGCTTGTATTTTCGTTGTTATTGAGTACGTGCCAGTGGCGGATCCAGGGGAGGCTATAATAATAGGTTGGTTTGTCTTGCATCGAATTTTTTTTTTGCGTTTTTTAGAAAGTTACCAACACCCAGTATTGTTTGTATTTTCGTTTTGATTGAGTACGGGTCGGTGGCCGCTTCTGGGGAGCCCCCCCCCGCCCTTTTGTTTAAACAATTCTACCGATCCGGATGCCCCCCCCCCCCGCCCCACCCCTTATCTGAAGGTCTGGATCCTCCACTGTGTGTAATAGTAATACATATTTTCAAACAATACTACGGATCCGGATGATCCCCCCCCCGCCCCTCCCCTTATCTGAAGGTCTGGATCATCCACTGTGTGTAATAGTAATACATATTTTCAAACAATACTACGATGTGCGTATCCTACGTAAAACCAGAATTTCGTGCCACATGGTATAAAGAATAAAAACAAGCAAATAGGCCACGATTAGCATTATTTTCACGCACCCCTCCCCAATCCCTCTCCCCCCTGAGCGTACTCATCGCGGGATCTTTTGAAGAAGACGATGAAAAAGCCCAGTACGCTAGCTTTTAACCAGAATCCCCGGGGGTACTCTCTTCCATTAACCTTATAGATATAGCTCTGAAAGAGTGTCAAGATTAGGAGAACCGGACGGCACACCCCCACTACGACTTCCCGGAATTACCCCCCGAGAAGAAAATGGAACGTGAACTGGACCTTGCCACAGGCAGCCCAGTTAAAAAGCAATCGTTTTATTCTAACCTGGCTAAATATCATAGAGATTTGACAGTCCTTGCTGAAACAAGGTGAAACGTTTTAAAAATCTTGACCTCTGATAAAGCAAGAATAGGCTTTTTACTGAAGTGAAATGCGTTTCTTCTAAAATATCAACAGAACAAATCAGTCCGGCCTGTTATGGAAATCTTCGGGTGTTTTAAGTGACGATGTTAAGCTATCGAGTTAAAGTTCAAAATACCTTATATTCCGAAAATAAGCCCCTCCATGTATAAGCCCCTCCAAATATAAGCCCCCCAAACTCGTAACGCAAAAAAACGCCTCCGTTAAATCGCCCCTCCAAATATTGTACTTGTACTTGTGCTAGTACTTGGAAATTGCCCTCAAATACAAAGTAAAACAAAGCAAAAACGGTAAATTCCTTCCGCTTATAAGGCTAGCCAAATCGATTTTGAAACGCAAATTTCCTACATAGGTAAGCCCCTCCGAATGTAAGCCCCTCCAAAAATAAGCGCCTCAAAAAGGACCTTTAAAAAATGTAAGCCCCGGGGCTTATTTTCGGAATTTTACGGTAACTGAAATGGGTAATGTGGGGGTTTTCTAAACTACTAGCATGACTAGTTAAGATCAATCTTCCCAGTAAAGTGCTTATCCGCAAATACTGAGTTCCGGCCGATGAATTTGATGGCAAGATCTCAGATTTGTCTTTGCACGTGTTATTGGGTCACTTAAAGGAATTTTTTGGCAAGGTAGACCCAGTCAATATCAAAACTTGAATCACTTACATGTAAAAACCCTCTTGAGCCTCTTAACCCTTTTAGCCCTACGAGTGGCCAGCATCAATTTTCTCCTTCAGTAATATCAATGCTTTGTAAAATAGAATGGTCATGAGAATCACGGACATGATCACACAATTAAGGTGAATTTGCTTGATATTTTATCAACTTCTCCCCACTACTTCTGTAGGAAAAAAATAGGGGCAACAAATGAGAATTCAAATTTTGATCTTAGGATTTAAAGGGTTAACAACACCACTTATGATAGAAGACAGCATGGCACCCCAGCGATTCTAAACCAGTAGACCTGCACCGTTCTAAACCTCTTATTTCACTGGTCCCCTTTAATCTGCACTTCCATTGTTTCGTAATCAAAAACAATCTTTCAAATAAGTGCAGGAGCGCCCTTGTAAACCCCTTGCTAAACCCCTAGGCCCATGCGAATGCGGAAGTTGGATTCCTTTGACAGTAAAATAAGCGTTGAATGTATTTATACAACTTAATTTCTAACACAAAGTGGAAAGATATTTTTAAAAAAAATGTCAGACATAGGACGGAAATCAAGGATCGTATATTTATAATAAACTTACAAATAGACGGACATGGCCAGGCCCTTTTTACGTCATGAAAAGGTTTTTATAGTTTTGCACAAACAAATGCCTTCGTATTTTCTGCTTTATATATGTTGTTCTTTCTATTTTCAGAATGATAATAAATTCCTTTTGTTTATTTGTTGCTTCCTACGCAACTTAATTGGCAATAAATAAAGCTAAATAAGTTAGCATGATATTCGCCTGACCTGCTCAGGAAGTGATTGCCGCAGCCGAGTATTGCTGTCTGAAACGCTAAATATATGATAAATAGCCCTTTTCAAACAATGTATCAGTAAACAAAGACGAACAATCAGTCGGTCAGCTTCTTTTTTACCTCAACAAAAATGTTTACTTTGGTAGTTTTGACTTTGTGGATTACTCTAACTGAAACAGGTAAATCAGTTTTGTATGTATTATAACAAAGGCGTATGCAGTTATTACTTTGTTCCGAAGCAACGCGAAGCATTTGTGTTGAAATTGGGGTCCTTGCTCCTAGCTTTATCAATATTTTTACAATTTTACCAATCTTCCCGTAAACTTTCACTTAACTGTTAAATAGGCGACCTTCGATCGCAGTATTGTGTAATCACAAACTGTAAAATTCATAAACGAATGGATGATTATCGCCGACATATTGTTAACCATAGGCGAGACATGGGAAGGACTTTAATACTGTTTTCGTTTCATGACTTCAGTCCTAACTGAACCAGCTTTCTGAAGCAGCCGTCCCGAGTGTACAGTTATTGAACTGAGAATTTGCTTTCATGAAAGATAGAAAGTGATCTTGAGCAGCCTTGCTGCTATAAGAAAAATTACAGTTCCAATTAATTACGAGCGTAAGTTCAGATAGTTATCGATATATTGGAATATATGACTGAGCAGATGAAAGCACTTGGAGTTATTAAAAAGGCATGCAGTACTGTAACACCAAGGACTAGGCTTTCCGAACAATCTTTTAAGGTGAAAGGAAATGGATGACACCAACCTTTGAACGTTATAAACTCATGGTCATTCAAATTTCTCCCATTAACCATTTATTGTTCTCTAGGAAGCAAAAAGGGTCAAAAAGAGAAAGTATTAATAAATTTCCCTCATCTCATGGCCGTGGAGCTGTTTAAGTGTATATTGAAACATGCGCAAACTTTCACAGTTAATTCAAAATCTCTTTTGTATCACACCAGATGATGCGGGGGAAAGCATTAGAAATATTGACTCCGGCAGTGAAAGAGAGAGCAAACCGACTTCAGATATTAAAACACCTTCGTTATTTCGGTCTTATCTGACGCAAGACGTGAAATTCAGAAAAGGAAAGCGCCAGGGCTCATATCTTGAGGCCTTTTTGAGAGCAGTTATAGAGGAAAAATTGCGTTTCCAAAATCTGTTGGGCTTATAATCGGAGAAAAATATGTGCAAGCTTTTTTGGAAACTGCAAGTCATAAGGATAATTCTCAGGCATTGCAATTACAACAGCCATAAAATAAATTGAAAATGAAACATTTACATACCGTTGATAAAGGCAAGTCAATACTTCATTAGCCGCCATAACAGCGCCCAAGTCATTAAGAAACACCCCATGCACAACTCACTGACAACTACTATTAATTACTTTATAGTTTATGAGGTAGCTTAGTTTATTAATAGTTAAGTAATGATGTAATTGAATATGTTTACTCAAAGTTCATAGATATCTCAGTAACATGTGAAGATTTACCTCCTGCCTTGTCTTGTCTTTATTTCATATTTGAGGGTAATTCCCAGATACAAGGCCCCCGGGGGCGTATATGCGCGGGCACTTGTGAAGAGGCCTTTTTGCGTTTCTAAATTAACTTATAGGAGGCTTGTATTTAGAGAGACATATAAACGAAAGGGCTTAATCTTTTTGTGAATGTTACCGTATATTTTGTCTGGTTCAACGTTTAATTATTTTTTTTCTTTAATTTTGTAACTTATATCTACTTATAACAGTACTTGAGCTTCATTACCCGAGCTATCTTTGAGGCTGCGAGACTGCGCCTTTGAAAGCGGAAGAATTAAAATTTAACTCTTTGTGCAGCTGTAGCTTCGGTTGCACTGATCTTGCTTTTGATATAAGGCTGTATATTTTCGTACCAGCATATTTTGTGATAAGTTTCGACCTCTTATAATTAATTAAATATTTTCTCAAGTCGGTATCATAAATTACCGCGAAATGGAGTAACTATTAAATCTTCCTTTTTGAAATATCCTGGAGAGCTAAAAAATAAAACTGGATCCGGATTAGACTGCGACCAACAAGCTCTCCAATTCAGTGGCGAGCGATGCGACTACCGTACCCTGAAATGTTGAGCTTGTTCGCAGGCTAGAGCCGGATTCCTGAAGCCGTCCAACCCTGCCTATAGTTGTTAACAGTTGGCTATTGTTATGAGATAATACTTCAGATACACTGTCTTAATATACGGATGGTTTCATGAATCATTTATACACAATGAAATAAATTTGTAAGCCGTCCAATGCTGGCTGACTGGATGACTGTTTGACTGACTGACGGACTGACGGACGGACGGACGGACGGACTCACTTAATGACTGGCTGAATGCCTCTCTGACTGGATCAGAGATGGATGGATGGATCGAGTGATCGATTGATTGATTGGTTGATTGATTGATTGATTGATTGATTGACTGATTGATTGATTGACTGATTGATTGATTGATTGATTGATTGATTGATTGATTGATTGATTGATTGATTGATTGATTTACAAGTAGAAATCATTCCATTATGTTACTTTTTAAAGCCTTTGGACAGATAACAGAGTCTTACTCAAGAACCTCTTCGGTCCACAATGGAGACAGACTTTTCTTAAGGTGCACTCATAGAGAACTGAGCAGGATTTCCCCTATAGAGAGATTAATATGGTTCAAAGATAGTGTCGCGATCCCAGCATCAGATCCGCGGCTTAATTCGGAAAATGGCACCCTGACAATCGAACAAGTGCGTGAAAGTGATGCAGGCACGTACCGTTGTGAACTGAAAACGTTAGATATCTTGAGCAACAGCAGCACGACAATAAATGTTATAGGTAAGCTACTGAATCTCAATTTCCTTTTAAGCCCTCATATCCTATAAGCCTCGCACCTCTCTAACGCGCACACCTATCGTTGGTCTCTAGACTCCTTTAGTCATCTTCTTTGTCTCTCCAGTAACTCTCGACAAGGCGGACATTTCCTTAAAGGGAACACCTAAAGATACTCCCTGCCATCTTTCAGCCATCTTCTTTGCCTCTCTATAAGCCCAGGGGCAGATCTAGGGGGAGGGTGCAGGGGGTGCGCACCCCCCCCCCCCCCCCCCCCGCCCCCCCGGGGCCTTTTAAAACCACTTTAATCTCCAAAAAAAAAAAAAAAAAGTATATTTTTTTTTTTTTGAGAAGAAAAAAAACAGAACACCACCCCCCAACAAAAAAAATCTGATCCACCCCCAGACAGACCTCATCTTTTAATATACTTTTTTCTCACACGTGCGTAGTGTTTTGGGGGGGGGGGGGGGGGGGGGCCCCCCCCCCCCCCCCCCCCGAGATGACCTGCGGTTTCTAATACAACTGGTATTCTGCAAAAAAAAAAACTACGTGGTTTATTGTTGTTGAAGTAGAGCAAGAGACGAGTGCACCCCCCTCCTAAAAAAAATCCTGGATCCGCCCCTGAAGCCAGATCTATTTTCAAGAGATTTTTTCCCAGAGACGGAGTTGACTTTTTTAATGATTAAGTAAGGATTATCTCTTGATGAAGTATTTTACAGCAATCAGAAAAGTACTTTGGCTGATGGTTACAACTACCACACTGAGTAAAGTAAAAAGGTCTTATAATGAATTTAAGAGGGGCTGAAAAGAGATTTTAATGCAAACTTCTCCTACAATATAAGTTAAATCAAAAGGAAACCGCACTCCGGTTATATTCCTTAAAGTGTTTTTTTTCATCTCTCTCACAGGAATGGACCCATTCAATCCAAGCAGCGTTACACATACGGTTATAAATATCAGTAGCAGTCCTCCAACAACATCGTACAACAAGATTGCATCGTTACAAAAAGAGGTTTGTTTGCAAAGTGGCCTACCCAAATGTAAAATGATTACTGGCTAACATAATACACTGTACGAGCTTTTTTTCCAAATTCCAGTCACTGTGGTTTTAGTTTGTTTATGCTTTAAAACTGCGGAATAAGCAAAGGTCTTCTAACTTTGTTATTCTCTTTTCTAGGTCAACGTTATGAGTAGCAGTCCTCCACCACCAACAACATCGTACAACAAGATTGCATCGTTACAAAAAGAGGTTTGTATAGGACACGTCATGCTGTTGAAATCTGTTTGATGCGGTCACTGTTGGGGAACGACCAATCGCCCCCTGAGTTAATACAGGTTAATACAGGTCTGACAAACAGAAGAGTTACCTTATCAAGAAAATAAAGATATCAACAAAGCAAAATTTTTTTCGTCAGGCGACAAATTTACCTCAAAGTGTTTCTACCTCTTCTTTTGCCAAAAGAAAAGGAGCAAGGGATCACTCGTCTATTGTGCCATGCACAATGTATATATGTAGCACTAGTGTGGTTCGCCTTCGTTGACAAAATGGTCCGTAGGCCGCGCGTAAAAGTAGTATCCACTATCATCAGCACGAAGATATTGAGAGTCCTTTGTATATCAAGCGAATCACCTTTCTATTTTTTTCCCGATCTAGATTGACGAACTATCGAATGGGAACTCCTCGGTAAATGTAAGCAGTTTTATAAATAGTCTCGCAAACGCAACAAAATCAGGAAATGAAATCACACTCACTGCAAAAGAATTGTCAGCATCAGTGAAGATGTTAGTTCAACTTGTAAACTATAATTCATTGGTGAACAACAGTGCAGTTAATACGACAACAGACCAGCAAAATATTGTACAAGTAGCAAGTAATCTTCTGGAGGAAGAAAATACCCCCACTTGGTTATTTCTGGAAGAGGTATGTGACGTTGTTTTAATTATTTAAAACACTGGAGCAGCTATTTTCTAGCCTGCGTCGCAGACTTAAGGAACAATGTATTAGGAAGGGGGGCTGAAAAATGAGCCTGACATAGAGTGATATTAAGTAGCCCTTCCTCGCAAAAAGACAAGTTAGCCGGCTCTGACTGTGCAGGCTACTATTTTCAAGAAATTGCTCTTACTACGTTTTGTTTACAAATTCTTAGAGTGGCAGTAATGTAACGGATAACCTTTTAAAGGCAATGGACGACTTTGGTTCACAAGTTGGTAGCCAGCTAGACGCGGGTTTGGACAACTCATCTAACGTGACAATCTATACTCGGAATATTGTTTTTAGGGTGGATCTCTTAAAAACTGCAAAAAAGGTAAAATGAATAAAATAGCCTAGTTTGGAGTTAAAGATTACCGCTGAATACAAATATTAACGACACATTCATACAGGGTTAGCCTCGACATGAAGTAAAACTTTCACAAATTCCGACAAGTCATTGAAATGTTTGAAATTTGAAATTCATCACAATAGACAGAGTAATAAACAGGTCTTCGTCTCGTTGGAATTTGTAAATACATTTACTTTAGATGGAGGCTAAGCCTGTAAAATTTGCGTCTTATTCACCTCTTTTATTCAGCGGTCAAAGCGATCTCAAAACTGGACTATGAGTCATGGACTAGAATTACTTTTCGCATTTGAGGAGCAAGGATGGAGCAGGGGTGAGAGTACTCGTCTCCCACTAATTAATGTGACCCGGGTTCAAATCCCGGCGTCGACCCCATATGTGGGTTGAGTTTGTTGTTGGTTCTCTCCCTTGCGCTGAGAAGTTTTTCATCGGGTACTCCGGTTTTCCCCTCTCCTTAAAAACCACTGAACACTTCCCACTTCCAATTCGACCTGGAACGTACGGACACGTTTAAATGAGTTAATAAAAAGTGCTTCGTGGGTAAACAAATTACAAGTTACAAATTTGTATCATGATATATTTGAGCAAGAGAGAACATTCTCTCTTGATTGGAAACATTATATTCTCTTGGTTGGAAACATTATTTCTCCTCTGTTTGGAGCAACACCACCCAATCTAATCTGGACAAACTCCAAGGTGTACATAATTTCGCCTGTAGAATTGTGAGCGGGGCTGGAAAATTTGACCACATCACTTGCGCTGGCTCCCAGTCAAGCAACAGCTATAATTTCGACTTGCTGTTTTAATAGTTAAGTGCATGACTGGGTGTGCTCCAGCGTACTTAACATCAAAGTTCGTAAAAAATAGGCCGTTTTGACAAGGACAACCAGGAACTCAGAAATGTTGAGAATATCACTCTTCCTCACTGCTAGTGGCCAAAGGTCCTTCGAATATAGAGCGACATCCCTTTGGGATAAGTTGCAACCAGAGCTCAAGCTAAGCAAATCCGTTAAAAGTTTTAAGCGTCAACTTAGACGACTTCTTCTGGACGCCTCCTTCAGCTATCAGTTAGTTAATTATTTTTCGTGTTTTAGCTTTCTGTGTTTAATATTATTACAACTGTAACACTGACTCTTAAAAGTCCTGTGGGGACGAGCCAATAAATATGTATGTATGTATATTTATAATGTTCTCCAATCTCTCTACGTGGATTAGAATTTTCAATTTTTTTAATATAATTAAAACTTTGTTCTCCTCTGACCGCGCATGAACAGACCAGTCTTGAGTTGTTATTGGTATGGAGGCCAATTTGTTAAGCCCTTTTTTTAATGCAAATTCTGCGCAAAAAAATTTATATAACTAATTGTCTTAACTTCCAACATGGCCGCCATCCTACTCACATGGTTCTAAACCAAAACTCTACAAGAGAGACGTATTGACTCCTAATCAGTCAAAACTCCTGAATGATAATCACAAAGCTCCCATTTTCATGTTTCACCCGTTGTCAAAAACCAACTGTATTGTCATGGTTTCGTTCACATAACTTTTAAAATTAGTTCTTCTTTGCATTGTCTCTTGAGAGGAAAGCCCCAATTCTGCATTGATATTTCATTTTATTTTTTTCAGCTCAGCGTTAACTTCTCCCAGCACGGCGCAGAGATATTTGTTCCTGGTGAAGTGTTCGCCTCAAATTCAGCAACTAAAGCTTCCACCATTGTCTACAAGACTCTCAACAATATCTTAACACTTAAAAAGGAAGATGCAAAGAACGAAGAAAAGAATGGAAAGACAAAATTCAAGAGTGGCTCAAACATTGTTTCTGCCACAATTCTTCCGCGTCCTGTCAGTCCGATGAAAAAACCAATCAAGTTTGTTTTTCATCACAAGAACAAGGCAAGTTATCAGACAGCAAAAAAACTGAGAAAAGATGTCATTTTTATGTCCTTTATCCGCAAGTCCTTGAGTCCAAGCGGTGGCTTTAATTTATTCATTGTTTATCACTTTTTCCATCACTTTTAACACCCTAGCACAAGTCCAACTAGCAGTTTCCTTTCTTCAACTCTTCTCAGCTTCTATCCGGTGTCCATAAAGATGGAAAATGAATGATGTAACTGATCAGGAAGTAAACTGTCTTTTTGATTACAGAGTGAAGATGTTATTGGAAGCTGTGTATTCTGGCAAATAGGACTTCCGCAGAGAACGTGGTTAACTCGTGGATGCGTGCGTGTGGAACACGAATCAAGTGCGCGAGTAACCACATGCGAGTGTGATCACCTGACAGTCTTCGCAGTGTTAATGAACAACAAACCGGTAAAAATAATTATTTTGTATTCTCCTGTAACTCCGAGAATATCATGATGAGTAAATAAAAATATTTATATTGCAGCTTTTTTGCTGCAACCGAACTTATCTTTTTTAGAAATTCAGTTAATATCTTCATTTATCTTTTTGTCATTAACGTTGTCTACTGCATTTCATTCACGATTATACCCCGCTGGTTCTTTCTAAGGACGAGTTTGTGTCACAATGAAGCCCATATCAACGGTTACAGGCTGTGACCATGTAGCTCAGCCAGTTGAACGCCTTGAGCTGATCGAAGGTTCTTGGCAAAGTGGACTACCCAAATGTCACTTTTACTGGCTAACATAATACAAGCTTTTTTTCTAAATTCTGGTGGCGTTAGTTTGTTCTTGCTTTAAAACCGCGGAATAAGCAAAGGTCTGCTCGACTACACCAAAATTAGTACTGGTTACATGATGTACTATCAGACAGTACCAACAGCGGTTCTCAATGTGCTGTGGCAGTACTAATAAATAGATTTGCTGTTCATAATTATTGTTCATTTATCTTCTAACTTTGTTATTCTCTTTTCTAGGTCAAAGTTCATCACGAACTGTACTTGAAGTCTATCGCCATCATAGGCTGCGCATGCTCTTTGCTGTTTCTACTGCTGACCTTCATGTTAATGGCATGGTTTTGGAAGTATTTAAAGAGCCCGAGAGTGAAAATGATATTACATTTGTGCCTTCCTATTGCTGCGACTTGTATTTTAATCATTATCAATGAGAACTACCACCTGGAGGAGGTAAATATTTATATCTCAAGTATTGTTTACCAGGATAAGACTGGTACCATCCTCTTACTCACATATTTGCTTAAAAAAATTAAAGGCTATTCCAAACTTTCCCGAAATTTCTGCATTTAGTCTTTACCATATGAACCAAAATCCTTCACCATCCTTCTTCAAAATCCTTTACCAATCAAAGAGACAAAGAGGTTTTTTAAAAATGTTATGTTGAACTCATTGTAATATATTTATTGTTCCTTCTTCAGTTTCGGGTTGGTCTCTACTGTTGCAGATGATGCGATCTCCAGATGACGTAATACAAAACATTAAACAAGCACTACACAACACTCACACCACATCACAAAGCGTTACCAACAATCTACAACACCGAGAAAGACTCAACACCCCAATTGGCTATTTGGAAGACTTTTTTCAGACACCGACTACATCTCTTTCTCTTCTTTTTTTTTTTTGTGCCCCAAGAATTATTACTTGGCACCAATAAAGACGAAACAAAAAAAAACGGAAAAAATCATCGTTTCTTGCTCATAGTAGTAAGCCTTGGATATCTTCTTTCTCGGTGGCATCACCTCATTTTGTTTCCCTAGCGACTGATCATCTAATTACAATAGCGGCTGCTGTTGTTATAAGAATCAGATTGAACCTAAGATCCTTTAACCCTGGCCTTTAAGCTCCAATATACAAATACAATTTAATGTTCTCCAGAATCATTGAGAGAATTTGATAAAATATCTAAACATTTTTCCTTTGGTGATAGATTTATCGATTCTCATAGCTGATGATGCATTGATATTGCTATTGGAGAACTCTGTTTCCTTTAAGCCAGGCAAGAACGAAAGACGCACGAGGAGGAACAAATAGGCGGTCACTCTGGGATTTAACGGGTTAACAGTCACTTTATATTTGTTACTTGACAGGCTTGGTGTACAGCCATGGCGGCGTTACTTCATTATTTTCTCCTGTGTGTGTTTACATGGATGTTCAACCATGGGGTCCTGCTTTATTTACTCATCATAAAAACGGAACTGAGAGATAACATTCATTCAAAGATGAAGTGGTTTTACACTTTTGGATGGGGTAAGAGAAACGTTAACGTCAATTTGCGTCATCACACCCTTTTCCACAGAGGCTCGACGGAACATTATTGGATTTCCGCTGTGCGAAGTAAATGAAGACGCGAAAACTGAAAGATGGAGCCTGCCACCTCACTCAAAAAAGCCTCTTTGAGCTTCTGTGGAGAAAATACAGGCTGTCATATTGTATATGTTCTTCGGCTATATTGCTAATTCTCTGTATCATAGGAAGGCGGTAAACAGCAGAAAAGCATTTCTCACCAGCACATCCAACGTCCCTCTGTCCTTTGCTTTCAAATTTTATGGAATGCAGAGACGTCTAAATAACGTGGCCGGGTGCATAACTATAAGAAATACATGTTGCGTTCTCTTTCAAACTGAAATTATTAGAAACAGTGTTTGCTAAACCTGATAAAACGTTGGTCGTGGGGTACGAGAGAACCAAGATAGACTGGAATTGTTTCCATTATTCTCTCTTGAGAGACCTTAGTTAATTTTCGGTGAGAAAGTAAGTGAACAAAAGGAAAGAAAAAACAGTGAAGTTTAACGTTATTTAAATCTTGATTGTAAAGCAAAGGTTTTCTCTATTTAATGGAGAAATTGTTTTCTCCAGTGTATGTCAGTAAGTTACGAGATATACTTAACAATTCGACAACAATTTTCCATGGTGTACTGTATACTCTCATCGACCATAGTAATAACGTCAACATGTTCAAAACTCACTGTGGAACCACCACCCGCAGGCGAGTGGTGTCACTGCAAAGAGTTTGAACATTTTGACGTCATTCCTTTGGTCGATAGGTGTATAGACCATAGGAAATCGTTGTTGATTTGTTTCTTAACATTTACAGTTTTTTACGCCAACTGCCATTATGTGCCATTGAGGTTTTTTTTTTCGTGAAAGCTCGCGCGCAAGAAAAACAAATAGCTTCACCATCACGTAATTTCCTTAGTCTGTACTTTTTTAATTACCATCATAGCTCTCAACCAATCAGAGCTAGAAATCGCTCAGATATTTTAAAATGTCCTTCGTTTCAGGTTTCCCTTGCACAGTAGTGGGAATGTCCCTTATAGTAACTGGTATCGACAAATATGTAGCTGAAAACTGCTGGCTGACATTAGAACATAACATTCTTTATTGTGCCTTTGTCGCTCCGGCTGCTATGATTATTTTGGTAAGTATTCTTTCTTAAAGATCCTATTTCCCTTTTTTGGCTCTATTTCTTTTATTTTGCGAAGTTTACTAAGTGTAAAAATTCAGTTGGTCGACTCTTATAAGGCGAAAACTGCTTATGAGCATTGACACTCGCCTCTGAATGAGATCATCGATGGAGGTTGTTGTTGATCCCTGGGACCAGGCCAATACTCAGGAGCCTTCACAATCCGATGAAAAACCTTCAAGGAGCAACCGTTTTGCCCTAAACATGTTAAGGTACCTTAAATTTCTTTTTAAAAAAAGCATCAATTTATACCATTATTATTCTGTATTTGTTTCAGGTCAACTCTATTTTGTTCATCACTTTGCTTTGTCGAATAAATAGAGTGTCAAAGTTCAGAGAATCCATGACACGTGCTCAACACGTGAAGGCGTGGCTGAGGAGGTCCCTAATTCTTCTGCCAGTCCTGGGAATAACGTGGTCTTTTGGCCTTTTAACGTTTATCTCGTCTACTATTGTCTTTCATTATTTGTTCACAATTTTTAACTCTTTGCAAGGATTTGTCATCTTTTTCAACTTTTGCGTTCTGGACTCTGAGGTAGGTTTTTTGGTTATCCTAGTCACTACTGTCAATTTAGACTCCAGTTTCGTCGTTTTTTCTGTTGAAATCTTCAAGGAGGGGAGCGCGCGAGGCGCCCGAGTTTCAGCCGTGAGGCCTAGTGTTTCCTGAGTCTCGGCATATGCCGTTTCTCATTACCCCTCGGACTAGACCTTGACCTGTGCAAAAAACCCTGCTATTTTGCAGTCTACAGTGCGACTACTATAACCTGGGCCACCTAGACCACAGGCGGCCCAAATTCTGTGTGGGTTCGTTGGACTTTGAATTTATAAGAAAATGTATGAAAATAAAAATACGTCCTAATTCCATTTAAAATGACTCACCTTGTGTTTTTGTTTTGATTTTTAGTGTCTCTTTGCTTCTAGAGCCATTTAAAAGCCATTTTATCGACGTTTAATATTTGAGTTGCACTACTACGTCGATAAAACGGCTTCCAAATGGTTCTAGAAGCGGGAGACAGTAAAAAACAGAACAAAAACACAAGGTGAGTCATTTTTATTTCTATTTTTTGGAGCTTGTTCTCTTAAATTTGTGTATTCAGTGTTTGACTGAGTTTCTCAAAATAAGAAACTGTTTCAAAATTGTAGGCTTAAACAGGTTCTTGATGTTAAAGGGATCTAAATGGACAATCTTAGCATAACAGGCTTTTAACATTTAGGTTCTTATACGCGGGTTTTTACTGTACCGAAAGTGGCCTACTAATAATTTACTTTGCAATTTAACCATTTTCTTGCAGGTCAGAGCTCGTGTAGTTGGGGCTTTGTGTAAAAAGAAACATACATCCGCTGGATGCGTCAGAAACAAAGCTGTAGCAGAACCAATCAGTATTGAGGATAACGTCCACAAAAATAATAATCTGCAAGCTCCAGCAGGTAAATAAATCACCGAAAGTCGTCTTCAGTTTTAGTCCTTGGTAATTACTTCATTTCACGAGCTGAATCAAGCATTATACCTCTGGTCCAACAAAACCTTAGGTCTTCTTTAATAACCCGGGAAAAACGCGTGCAGACTGGGGAGAGAGGATCAGGCGCTTCTTGGGATGAGCACGACTGATCGTATTCCTGAATAGCAATACGCAGAAATGTTATAACAAATATCTTTTAGCCTTATTCTGGGATCACAATGGAATGCTACATACATCTTAATATTTTATTTCAACCAAATTTCTGTATTCTAAGTTGCAATATATGCCTAAATTACTTTTTCCGGAATACGGTCAGTCGACCACGCCCTTATTTTTGGGTGCCAATGACCGACTACTACCTGAGAGCCTAGGACAAGCGACCTTTGACGGGTTGGGGCGACTAAGGCCAAATTTTCAAATCCCAAGTAAGCCATGCCTAAGGCTCAAATTAGTGTAAAAAAATATTTGCTGTCCTAAAAATATGTAAGGTCTTAGGAAACCTTTTCAGTCAACCCAAAAAAGTTCTTGGAACGCAAATTTTTTTGCAAATTTTCTTTACCAAGAAACACTTTGCTTAATACTGTGAGAAGTAACATTATTGTTTGTCTTTATTCAGTCATATTCCTGACAGCTGTCCCAGCAAGGATTCAGGGAATTGAAAACAAGCGATTTTTCAGCACGGATGAAAACCAACTGACGCTGGAAAGACAAGACCCAAAACTACAAACGTGGATGACGAAATCATATCTCTGATAAAAGCTACATGAACCGAAATTTAAGACACTCTACTGTATTGTTTCATAGTTAATTAATACAGAGGTCTTCCTTGGCTGACATAAAACAATGGAAGAGACTTTCATCAAGCAACAACTGTAAAGTGTCGGTGTAAATATATATTTCCATTTTTTTTTGTCTCTTAGAATTTAGCTTAAGATGGTGAAGCACTTTTGATCAGGATATTGTGAAGAGCGCTATTTTAGCTGAAAAATTATAAAATGAAATGAAATGAAATGAAAATGCAAAATTTTAACAAGTGCTGTACGCCTCATAATTTATGTGATTACACTTAATTTTTTATGAAATACAAATTTCTTGAACAGAATAATGCAGAATCTATGCTTTTCTTAAAGAATGAAAGGAAGTAGGCCAAAATCTGTTCGCCCTTTTATACATTTTCGAACACCAGTAGTATGTCCAAAACCAATCTAGCTTCCAGGGTCTCTCCTCTACCTTGTTCCCAGGGTTCTCTCCTAGTCCTACTCTCTCCGGGGAACGAGTAGGAGAGGACCCTGGAAACCTGGAAACGATTTTTCATTTCGCCACCTTGCTATGTTACAATAATAAAAAAAATAACAAAGTTGTACGACAAAATGGCAAGAAAGCCCACAGAAAACACGAGGGCTATGCAAAGTGGGCTTTATCTACTAAATTACAAAAAACGCTAAATATTAATTGAACGGCTGTGGTGGAGTAACAAAACGTAGCCAAAATGTATTAAAGAAAAAAATGAAAAAAAGCAACAAAAGTAAAAAAGAAAAGAAACAGGAGAGGGGGGATCGAGGGAAAAGAATAAGTTTCGTAAGGTGTTTCTTCAGTTTGTTCTAAAAAGTTAATGCACTAACTGAACTTTTGGTGCCTGGGCTGAGAGAATTACATGTGTAAAAAGGAAACTAGTTTGGTTTAAAGCCATGTCACGCCAATATTTCAGTTGTACTATGGGACCCTTTTTGAGCTGACAATTTTTTCCCAGTGACCAGCGCAGCCTAAAACTGGCCCAAATACTGAAGCTCTAGCATCCCTAAAAATTTAGTCCGCTCCAGTTTCCAAAATAGTAATGTGCAGAGATCGTTAAAAACCCTTTTCCAACTTTCGCGCTTCCTCCCTTAACCTCGCTTTCGCGACTTCCCTACTACTGAGAGACTGGAGCAGGTTACCCAAAACATTTCCATTCAACAGGTTGAGTTCCACAGAATTCAATTCTAGGACCTGTATCAATCTGTAAGTGAATGATTTGTCAGATTGCTTAAGGTCCGTCATGTCACATCAATTTACCGACGGCACCACAATCTATGATCACGGAAGACAATCTAATTTGATGGACTGGAGAGGCAACTGCATCAGGCCCTTGATCATCTTTCCATGTACCTGGTCATCTGACTGTAATCTGCGCCTCAACTCCCAAAAGACAAAGTCCTGTTTTACTCTCAACCGATGGCACGCGCTCATGGACTGGAGAATTATTCAGCGCCAGTCATCAGAGTTAATAGAAAACAACGACCCCAGAGCAAAGGTGTATAGGTAAAAGAGAGTCCGTTTTGCATGGGTGCGCGTGGCTCACTAGTCGATATAATAAGTAAACACAACAAATAATGCCTAATGGTGCAGTAAGTCTTACTGCAGATCAGGAGCCATAATCAGGGTAGGAGACCGTAACTGGATACCTTCTCCAGTAATCGGGTTGGTTCCATCAAAAGACAGTAGCCAAATGTGCTATTTTTAGCACAAATTGTGCCATCTCGCTTGACATGCGCGCACATTTTCGCGTGGGAGCCGCGTAAAGGAAAAACAAACAAAATGGCGTCAGAAATCACCCCCGCAGGAGATGAATAAATTCAATTTCCGTCGTCATTTCCTCCTCTTTACTTGAGGCAAGCTGTGAACAGGCTACCCGAGTGTCGCTATGTAAATCTTTTTTTCAAGGAGGATCTCAATTTGTTTGGGAAAGATTACAGCCAGATAGACTCTGTTTTAGACTGTTCATACACCTTATTCCAAAATGGCAACGACTTTAATATTTTTTTTATATTTATGTTTATTAGCGCTCGATGCCTCGATTCCAGCTAGAAATGCGATTGAGGCATCGAGGGTAGGGCTTTCCAGAAGTGGCTCGAGATTTTCCAAAATGTTTCCCGGAATCTCTCAAAAAGTTCCTCAAAAGTCGCTCGAAAAAACAAAAATTTTTTTTTGGTCTGATGCTTAAATATGCAAATTTTACAACAAAAGTAAGATTCCTAAGCATTTTTGTGCAATTTTGCGGCATAACCAACGTTGGTAAATAACTTTGTCCTCAATTAAAAACGAAAAATGTAATGAGCCAATGAAATGTTGAATGACCTTTTTCACCCGAGACAGTCAAGTAAGTCGAGTGTGAATCATCGTCTTCGTTGAATTTTCTCTAAAACTGCTAACCTAGTAGCCAGGCTACTTTTATCCTGCGCCCATGATCTGCCCCAGGGGTTGGTGCACGATGTACCAAGTGAATAGCAAGTCTCGAGTTACGTCACAAAGAACACAATTAACAATGATCCCTAGCCCTTATAACACAATAAACTTCACACAACAGAACGAGACAATAGTGCATATATTGACTTGGCATATCGAGCATCACTTGCCCCAGGGGAAGAGGATTTGGCTCCTTTTTTACAGGAGATTCATAAAATGTCTACTAAAACATCGTGGAATCTGGAAGAAAGGGCAGTTTAAGCACTAAAAGCTGCTCAGAATTATAAGATAACAGAATGCAAGAAGTTGCTCGCAACGAAAAACGTTGCTCGAAATACGAGAAGTTGCCAAAATGTTGCCGAGCAACTTGTGGAAAGCCCTAATTGCGGTTTTTTGTTTCTCGTTCTGCGTGTTTAGTGAAAAACTTTTCGGCATTTTGCAAATTTTATGCTACCCAGGGACCGGGCATTTGCCAACCCTGGGGCTATTCCCGAACTTTTGACATGCACGCGGTTTCCTATCAGAATATAACTACACAGAGGATATAACTGAAAAAAAGCAGATTGACTCATCTGTCCAGGACAGGGGGTTGTACAGGCATGTTCTCGATTTTATGCATGCATTTCTTCATTGCTCATCAAGCCAGAATTACATAGCAAAACTCGGAAGCTATCGACGTGAATCAACAGTTTTTGGTTAGTGAATCAATTTCTGTTGATATTATTTGAAGAACGTCCTTTCATATTTATAAAACTATTCATAACATATAACTTTACAGCGTTCTGTTAATTTTAATGTCAACAATTCTATATCAATACTAAAACCACAAACTGGGGCATGTCGTCTCGGCGTGAAGTCTTAATTAGAATCCTAGCGCTATTAAAAAGGAAGACGTTACCTGAAACAAAAAATCGCACATTAAAATGCATAAAACGGCACTATTTGACTGTGCGATCAATGAAAAATGTTGCAGTGCTGACGGAGGACGGGGCATTTGCACTCTTTTTTCGTCTCCACCCCGGGGGATTTGACAGCTCAAGAGTTCCCACCCTTGGGAATTTGCCATCCAAGGCAAAAAAATGCTAATGCCTGGGGGTCAACCCGGGGCGGGGAGGCTGGGCGCAACTGGAAAAGACTGATGCATTATACAACAAGAAGAGCTAATGGTATGGCACCCGAGTGGAGTTAAAAGAACCACGATTCGAGTAACTGGGGTAAATTTCAGTCTTTTTTATCAAGGGAGTTAGCGGGGAATTCGAGTTATCCCACGAGTTCCGAGTTAACCGAGCAAAAGTGTCAAAAAAGTGAGGTTAAATCCAAGAGAAATTGGACTTCGTTCGAGTTAGCGGGAGTTCGAGTTACCGGGGTTCCACGGTATCTTATTTCGTCAGCAGCAATCAACAGTACCTTCTGTTTAAAACAATCAATTTCATGCCTATACCTAAACTGGAAAGACTTTCATAAAAAGGTCGGATATGAAACTGGAGATTTTGAATCAAGGATTTTCACCAGTCTGACGTGACCAAGCCCTTTCTACGTCATCCAATAGAAAGGTTTTCTTAGTTGTCTTTACCAAGAAATGCCTTTGTTGCTGTTTCTTCTATTTTTAGACTATAACTTCCTCGTTTCGTTTGTTTTTGTTTCCAGGTTTCCCACGCAACATGAGCATGATATTTGTAGGGGTAAAAATATTGCCACACTTGTGTATTGCTGTCTGAAACGCAGGAAATGCGAAAGAGCCTTTTCATTATTCCACATATAAATCGGTAAACTCAGACGAACAACCTCGTCTTTACGACCACAAGAATGTTTAATCACTTTAATTTGGTGGTTTTGACCTTGTGGATTACTCTACCTAAACCAGGTAAATCAGAGTTAGTTATGTCTAGCTATGTATCATATGACAAATGTTTCTGTAATATTATTACCTCAGCTGTCGTTAGCCATTAATCCTTTATAACAATGTTTTTCGTCAGTACCAACTTTTCTCCGTACATTTTAAATTTCTATTTTTTTGTTGACTAGCTGTTCAGATACATGATTTTCGATCTACTTATTCACAAATTGTAAAATTCACAAAAGAACGAGTAAGTATTGACGTAGTATTACTCACGAGACGTGAAGACTTTTAAAATCTGTTCGTTGTCCCTGATTGCGGGACTTTTACTTGACCAACTTCCGGGGTATTTAAAATGCATGCAGTCCACTGAAACAAGGCTTAGTGCAAAACTCCCACGACGGATAAAATTTACACTAATATTGAGACCCAAGGGCATTCAAAATTCTCTTATTATAACCTTCTTTTTCTACTGGAAGAGATAAGGTTTGCTTATCGCATGGTTCATGGCACCATGAGGAGCAATACAATAAAGGCTCAATATTGCTTACTATTGTGTACTCAATATTGATTACCATGCGCAAACTTTCACCAATTATTTCAAAACCTCTTTCAATTAAGTAGATGATATGGGAGAAAGAAATTACAGAAAAGGGGATTGAAAGCATTGCCTGTCAGGTCTCTCATCCTTTAA